CACAGAACACACACACTCTACTAAGCTGATAATTGAATCATCCTTGATAATGGCTAAAGGTATAGCCGAAAGCGCTCGGAAATACAGAACATTCGGACAGTTCTTACACACTCTTTGTCCAGAAAAGAAAGCTCTTGTCAGAACACAAGAAAAATTAAATAAAAAGCTCAACCGTAGTACATTGTCTGTCGTTTTAATGAAACATATATATATATATATATATATATATATATATATATATATATATATATATATACATACATACACACACACACACACACACACACACACATACATATATATATATATATTCATCTATGTTTCATTAAATAATATAGACAAGTGTTGTCTTTGTTTTATGTAAATTATTTTCATCTCGTCTGATAAGCTTAATAACATTATCATTAAACAAAGAAAGAAAATCACAATATTGATACATATTTTTTAATCCAATCTAAGCTTTCGGCTTACATAAGCCATTATCAAAGATGACAATTACTGTACAATATATTAAGCAATACACGGACAAAACAGTGATGATAGTCTGTTTCTGTTTACGTGGATGATTTCCAAATAACGATAAACACGTGCATATAAGACGCTGAAAGCGAGTATCGCACCACAGATTATGACGTCACACACGACCATGCGAAACTGAATTCGAGAAGTATTATGTATGGGAAGCCGTTGGTATAAACCAATGGCTTCTGTTACCAATTAGAGACATTTAAGAATATTTGTGGAGATTTCATAGTTTATTTTGTTCAGGTTAGGTTTCAACTGTTTTATGTATATAGTTTCAAGAATTTTTAGTTTTTGTTTATTGTTTTCATGTTTAAGAATAGTTGTGTTTTCAATAAGGATTTTCTGGAATTGTGTACGCGGCCAGCCATGTTGTTTTAAATGCCTAAAAATGTTAGAGTTATCATTCAAATGTAGTGTCAAGCGTCGTGAAAGCGAGTTTGTGGTGTGACCAACATAAATATTATTTAATCCATTGGAGATACAATCTCTCAAAGGTCACTTGAATTTGTAATATATATATCTGGAAGGGGGAGAGAAAATAATATATGCATTTTTATATGTATGTATGTATGTATATATATATATATGAAAATTTCTCCGATTTAACCAGTAGAGAAGAGAATGTGTATGAATAAAAATGACAATAGGAAAACTAGTAAACAAACATTGATGCGTTTGTCCAATGTGGGCTTTATAAAAGAAAAATACGAAATGAATTTAATTGAACAAGGTAACTAATAAAAACAAACAAAAACAGAATGTTCCTAGCAACTGGAATGTAGAGAAACGCTATTTTCATATTGTTAAAATAACGTCAGTTGTGTGGAAAATATTGTCATTATATCTGTGTTGATGTATTCAACCATTTTCTTTTGATTTTATGAATCTGTTGTGTACATTTGTTTGTGAGAGCAGTAATTTTGTTAAGAAAGGTGAAATTTATTAGTTACGTTGTTCAATTAAATTCATTTCGTATTTTGCTTTGATAAAGTCCACATTGGACGAAACGTGTCAGCAATTACTAGTTTTCCTATTGTCATTTTTATTCATATATATATATATATATATATATATATATATATAACTATGAAGCTAAAGAGCCAGGTAAAGCTACCTAGGTTTCACCTAAACGGATCGTCAGAGTAACATAGCTAAGCTTACCCTGACGATCCGTGTAGGTGAAACCTAGGTAGGTTTACCTGGCTCTTTAGGTTCGTAGTTAGATTTGCTTTACTTAGTGTATTGAGCACTTTGCTTAGTTATTTTTGCTTTACTCGTATGGGTGTTTTTTTCTTTGGACTCTGAACTTGGATTCTGGACGATTGTTTTCGTCTGAATTACATGTTCTTAGTTCTTTCTTTTTTTATTCCTTATTTTTCCTTGGGCATTGGTTTGTTCATGTACAAGCCAAAATACCTAAGGTTTTTACAAACGTGCATAACTATATATATATATATATATATATATATATATATATATATATATATATATATGTTTTATGTGTGTGTGTGTGTGCCCGCGTGTGCATGTGTGAGGCTGTAGAAATGTCAGCAATATCTGTGCAATCATGGTTAAGCACGATTGTGTTTTTATCCATGTGTCGGTAAATATAATTGACAGTTTCATGAAACATTCGTACGAAGTCTTCATTGTCAGTGTCAATTTCCCTCAAAATGACCAAAATCCGTTTAGCGTGGAAGTTGTTGCCGCCAAAAACAACATTCTCTCCATGTCTAACCCTTCATAAGGTCATGTACGTTACAGAAGAACGTGTGTGACAAAAAGGCTGAGATAACGCCCACGGGAGAGAGAAAAGTGATGAGAAGTAACAACCCTCCAGAACGCCGACCTTCCCTTCTCATTTATATTTTATGTTGCAATGAGCAAGATCGCGTGACGCCATCTCTAAACGCTTCATAACGTAGGAAGCTCCGTGTGTCGTAGCGAAAGCTTATGAACGTGAAGCGGTTTTAAGTACGTAACCTATATCTGTGTTCCTCTCCGCTTGCCTGAACTCCAAAGTCAGTATGCATAAAATAGAATTTTCTTAAGTATGACAACGTGCTACTGTACTTTTGAATTTACAGGACCCACCAACAGATTAAGGGTACTTTAATGGATCTCTTAAGTTTGACACAAGGTATAATAACGAAATTGGATGTACGAAGAATGTGTTGCGTCAATACGTCCCGGAAGTTATTCTTTCTTATAAAACAGCAACATATATAAAACAACTGATTAGAGAAAATTTTATTTGGACAAAAACTATTTTCTACTGTCACCATGTTTACTTATGTATTTTGGTTAAAATTTGTACCATCTGAGATGAACCACACATCTCCGTCACCAGAGCTGAAACATATTATACACCTAACTGTGCTTACATCCACTGTTTAGTTTTCGATTAGTTTCAGATAAGCGTCAATGAATATTAGTGGCTGCATTTTTCTGCATGGAAAAAATAAATCTCTGCACACACACACACACACACACACACACACACACACACACACACACACACACACACACACACACATATATATATATATATATATATATATATATATATATATATATATATTATTAACACCTAAGGAAAGATATCCGTATATTATCATGAGAAGTGATACATATTTAAAACCAAAAATTTTTCACTGCAAAAATTCTCAATGTACAATATTTTTTTGTAAACTTTGGAATGTCACCGATATCCTTGACAGTCCATAGATTCAATCTGTAATTTCAGAGTTTCATAAAGAACGGGATAGTTAAACACACGCAAGAAAAATGTTAGAATTTAGTTTTTACTGTAAACTGCGTCGCCGATCTTTGGGGCGGTCTCTTTCTAGTTTGACAGCTTTTTTGTGTGTGGACGTGAATGGGGACTTGACTTCTGTGCATCTACTGTCAAAAATTTTCCAAACTGCCCCACAATTGTTAGACACAAAACCTTATATATATATATATATATATATATATATATATATATATATATATATATATATATATATATATATATATATATATATATATATAAAATCATATATACATATATATAAATATCATATATATATATAAATATATATATATATATATATATATATATATATATATATATATATATATATATATATATATATATATATATATATATATATATATATACATTATATAGAGATATATGGTCTGAGGATTGCATTTAAGCATGAAACAGACTATCCCTGCTGGTGTTAACCTCAATGTAAACTTCAAATATAATATATATATATATATATATATATATATATATATATATATATATATATATACAGATCAAGAGATATTGATTGAAGCACGGTGGAGTAATGGGTAAGTGCTGGGTTTGAAATCCGATTTCATTACATTCATTTACATGCAATGCTTGGGAATTGTGTGAATCCATCTATTTTAAACGTTATGGGAAATGAGCAGGACACACTGGTGTCCTATAGCTTTGCATGGCATCCGGTCTATAAAAAAAGGACCATTCGGAATTCAAAACATGAGAGATCCTTCTGACACCAGTTCTCTGTCTTCAGCTCTTTCGAAAAGTGTGGTTAGTTCTCCACAAGACTTCAGCGCGAAAACTAAATCATTTGGGCGGAGTTACTGTACCTCAGGAGTCGAGTAGGATGGGATAACTCAGTTATATATATATATATATATATATATATATGAAGGAATATAGTCTTAAGATGTGCTATATTTATGGGATAAAGTGCTCAATATCAGAGATAGAGCGTGTGTAAATATAAAAGTGAACATTGAATTCAACACTTAGTACCAATGTCCAGACATTGTATTTTTCAAAAGTGTTCAGTACAGAGTAGATCAATTATAGCAAAAACCAGTTATAAACCGCGTATAACACATACACACACACACACATACGCACAAACATACACACACACATACGCACACATACATGCTTAAAGGCCATCGTATACCCTGGCGATTGCGTTTAAGCATGAAACAGTCTATCGTCACTGAGTGTTGACGTCAGTGTCATATATATATATATATATATATATATATATATATATATATATATATATATATATAGAGAGAGAGAGAGAGAGAGAGAGAGAGAGAGAGAGAGAGAGGACTGTTTCTGAGTTTCCAAAAAGTATTTGCCATACAAAGGCTAAATAACTCTTCAGTCTTTTCTATTATTTATGGGAGTTGAATTTAGGGCATTGCTTTTTCCTCGACTGGTTGTCACACTTAACCGGAGAGCCCAATCAAGCTTGTTCTTTAATATATCGATAGGGGAAGATGGATTCATGCCTTTTTTGCAAGGGAGTTAGTGCAAAGTGAACAAATTAGACTTAGTTCGAACTTGAAGTCGATACGCTGATTTCACTTTCTGCACTGATAACCTTTACGCTACCCTCACATGTAGCGGTATTTTGATGGCTGACTACCCCTTCAGAACTTTTATATATGCCTATATGCAGATTTGACATTTACGTGCGTGCAGTGTTCAGTGAATCGCCTCACGGGCCACACCCTCATTCGACCTCGTCGCAGCGATCACTGCACAATTCTCTCAGCCTCACATTTCTCATAGGCATAGAGACAACGCATGTACAAACTCTCTACGCGTCACCCCCACAACAAATGCGCGCTCCCCCCACCTCACACACACTGGCTCATAGACGTACTTTGAACATTTTTGTGCGTTGTTGCCTGCCTATAGCCAAGGCGACTCTCTTTTCACCCCAAGCGGGGCGAAGCACAGCGAATAGTTGGAGGTGGGAGGGAGATGGAGAAACGAGAAAGTAAATGTAGATTTTCAGCCTCCATAACCACGAATCGGCAGATTCCGTTGACTCTCGGTTTATTTCGGGAGTTTTGCATTTCCTCTTCGGTAAGAGTTACCGCAATTCCCCATGTATAATATGCATTTTTTTCTTAAAAAAATGATAAGCAAAATCAGGGGTGCGTATTATGCACAGCTTCAAAAATTGCCGTTTCATAGGTCGATTTCAGTTGCGAAATGACCATTCACCCCAAACATACAATTTGACACTAGCATTTGGCGATTGCGACTCCATAAGGATGTCAAATACAATCATATGTACATGACAATACTTACAAATGTAAAATAAAATAAAAATTATCATAAAACTAAATTAAAATAATGTTATTCTATGTTTAAAACCATTTTTGTGAAAAACTACATACACATCCAGTAGATTGCAGATTTTATCGAACAAAAATGGGTTAATGAGTTTGCGCAGTAGGCACAATATAGGTATTTCCGCTTCCTTTTAGAATCGATATGATCGGAAATTTAGATAAATATCTTCAATTACAGCTTGAATAAGAGTAGGAAATGCTGGCCTTAATGAAATTAGGGAGGTACAATTTATAGGGTTTGATTACCAAACGAGGGGTGCGTATTATGCATGAGTAGAAGCATTTCCCACTCTTTAGGTGTGGGTATTATGAATGAAGGCGTATTATACATGGGGAATTACGCTAATTGAAGTATGTACATTGACTTGGGCCAAAAATTTATACCGAGGCAACATTTTTTTCAGAAGGCTATCGACACTATACTAGCCAATCCCTGTTTGCAGACGCCTACTCAGGCACATATTTTTTTCTGCACAGAGCACACTTGTGTTTTATACTGAAACTGTGCTGAGCGGACATTAGTTACAGTTTCTGGGAGAGAACGCAGAACCTGACGTGATCAGCAATTTGAAAAATGCCAGTACACTTGAACCCTCGGTCACGATGACTTGTGACTTCGTGTTAACACAACCATTAACCATTTATGAATAGTCTCCCCATGAAAACTCACAAGATTTGGGTGGATGGTTTCTCAAAGGTGCAACATGTTGGGGATCACCGTCCTAGAGTAATAGCATCATGAAGACACTGTCTTACCAAATCGACTAGGCTGAGATTTCAAATCCAGGTCTCATGGTTCTAACCACTCACCCACCCGCTCATGTCAAAATCTATAAATTAATGCTTATTAAATCACATTTTCTCTCACGACTCCTTAGCTAAAGTGTCCATCAATTGGCTAAATTACTTCAATACAAATCTCATGACACCTCCCACGCGCACATATTCACTTAAACATGCATTGTATTATGTATTTTTGATACAAGAGGTCCTCGACAAAATCCAAAGATAGATATGGAATGTGATATGTCCTAAACTGGCATCTCGTCTACAGTCACTTTCTCACAGACGTTCTGTGACTTCTCTCTGACTTTTTTACAAATATTTTCATGGAAATTGTGCTGTTGAGCTATTTCCACTGGTGTTCCAACTGCATGAATTTAAGCGTGCTACTAGGTTGGCATCTTGGTCCCCACCCTTCTTAAATGTTACCCCCACTTCTACCCCAACAGCTTCTTCTCTCGCACTTCCCGACAGTGGAACCCCCTTCTTTCTACTTGCTTCCCTGATAGCTATAATCTTCATATGTAAAATGTAATGTCAATCGACATCTGATTCCTTGATCCTGATCCCCGTCCTTCTCTATATCCTTTCTTCAGACACCCCCCCTCTTTCTCTCTCTCTCTCTCTCTCTCTCTCTCTCTGTAATCCCTTGGCTACTAGTGGCACTCCCGCCTTGCTTGGGGTGAAATGCTTAAAAAAATCGGTTGAAAGATATTATATACATGCCTATATCATATTACCCTCACATCGTCTACAAGAGGACTTCTTTGAACACCGACTAGGTGGTATTGTATAAAGCAATATGAATGGTAAAAGCCCCAAACACTTTCCCTCCCTCCCTCCCCTATTTTCTCTCTATCTCTATCTCTCTCTGTCAAACACACACACACACACACACACACACACACACACACACACACACACACACACACACACACATCCTTCTTAGTTCCTCGAGAAGGCTTCCAGACTTTTTAATATGTGAAAGGCTAATTGTTCCAAAAAGTGTGGTAAAATTTATTGTTCTTAATTATCTGTGATTTGGAAACTTCGATGAAAAGCAAATATTCAAGTATTTCGCTCTCTGATGGACTTTATCAAGGCACACACACACACACACACACACACACACACACACACACACACACACACACATATATATATATATATATATATATATATATATATATATATATATATATATATATATATATTATAGTTATTGTTTTAAAAATATGATTCCTTCGCTACATAAGAGTTCTCATGTTTCAAAAAGGAGAGCCGAAACCATCAATATAATTATTAAAATTAAATTGAATTAAAGTAAAAAGCCCTGTTTCATCCTCAAACGAAAATTCAGGAATCTTCCTAGGTTACAACAGATAGATATAGACAGATTGTGATAGATAGATAGATAGATAGATAGATAGATAGATAGATAGATAGATAGATAGATAGATATTAACAAACTAAGATACATAGATATATACATACACACATACCAGGAGGTACTAGAGATTTCTAGTCTAGATTTACTTTCGAAAATAAGAAATTATTATTTCTCACTGTAGCGGTTAAGAAATTTTAACTTATATTGCAAAATGTCAATTTGCAAAAAAAAACTTGCACATAGTTTTTAAATTGGTTCAGATTATTGACAATGTCCGGCCCCACCCCCACTGGAAGTATGGAAGTTCAAATTATTGTATGCTGAAGTTCCTGAAAACGAAAACTCCAAACGAAATTCGTAGATGCAAACGTTGAGTCATAATCAAGGTCATATCGTCCGATGTCTCAACTTGCAATGAAGCAGCACAATCTGCGTAACCTTCAAAGGTGTCATCTGCTTAAATTGTGGATTCTGTTCCGCTCAACGCATCTCGGCTAAAAGAGCAAAAGTAGGGAATAGCTAAGGAATGGCGGGGTTTGTTATTCATGATCCATGATCAAGCGAGTGTGTATTGAAATGTCTGAATGCCAACTAGAAATGACATCGAATGGACTTATCAGTTTTTGTGATATTTTCAGTGACCCAGTAAGATATTTTTCGAACGACTTGTCATTAACATCTCCGAACAGTCTGAAATTACTTTCTACTTTAATTATGACAGCAATTTTTAAATCGAAAGTATGCTCACACTCATTACGATGATCGACTAATAATACAGTGTTGTTTTGTAAAAGATCTTTTTTTGTGTTCATATAATCTTTTATCTAAATTTCTCGTAGTCTCACCTATATATTTTTGTAGCTTTCATTACAGTCTAACTGTAGCTTTCATACCCGGTTAAGGCAGTGGAGAACTTTCAGAGGGAAGATAACAGGAGATAACTGTTAACTGACATACATTAAACATGACACGTGAAACTAGAACAATCTACCCCAGTGAGCGAAATAAAGGGTTCAGTTCGACATTCCAACCACCTGAAGAAGAAATATGACGACAAAGATGAGGACAATAGTCCGAATAATGTAAATAATGAGGACGACAAGTTCTGAATTCTTGGAATACAAGAATTATTTTGGTATTATGGTGAAAATAGAAATTTACGAAATCATTTTTATTAGTAGATTTACGATAGACATTTAGTTGTACGCCATTATTTGCACGTTTTAATGCGATATCGAGCAAAAGTAATGTATTGTTTGTTTCTGTTTCATCAGTTCGTTTTTCTTTAGTTTATCAACAAGTTTGAGTAATATCTTAATATTAGTAATGATTGCTTGATCTAAGAAATTTATAAAACCATAGTTTATTACTTCTGGCAGTAAAAGCAAAAGAAATAAGATGAAATAAATACAAGAATAATAGACGTCTTAAGTCTATTTCTGCTAGATGTAAAAGATGTAAAAGATAGAGAAATAAGAAAGAATTCTAGTCAAATAATAAATAATTGATAATGCCTCAAATCTAAGATCTTACAACTTTTTCTTTGTTCTTTTATGACCTTCGCATGTCTGACATTTGACTGCGTCCTCCCTGTTTTTTCTCCTTCCTTTTTCATCTCCTTCCATTGACTTTCTATTTCTTTTCTGTTCATCTTTATTTCTCTCTTCTTTCACTTCCGTTCTTTTACTGACCTCTCTTTTCTTCCGCAATTTTCCAATGCTCTGTTCCTCTCTTTCTATCTTTCTTTCTCTCTCTCTCTCATTCTCCAAATATTTTCGTCTTCTTTCTCTTTTCTCGTACAACTTATTTAGGTACCCCCAAAACTTTGCTAAAAAAGTGGATACATGATAAAAAGAAAATGGGCAAAACATAATAAACATAAAGTTTTATCGACAAAACGTTTGATTATTTTTTAATGTAAAAATAATTTTATTTACCTATTTCAGAACCTACGAATCTTGTTTATCCGGCGTCAACGTGGGATCAAATAAGTGCACGGGAAATCTGAGCGTCTTTTTACGGTGAAAAACGAAATATTTTCGAAAATTCTTGCAAAAATCATTGTCAGATTTTAATAAAACTCACAGTACTTATTTACAAATCACTGAAATTATTTCTTAAATGTTTCATTTTTAGAAAATCTTGATAAAAATATATTTTACATTTTACCAACACCCTCCCCCCCACCTTCATTTAATTTTATGAAATGTCGGGAAATTATCTTTTGTATCAGTTAATTTTCATATTTGGTATACAGTGAAGGTTCTCGGAGAATTTAAACCATCAATTTTTGTTGGTCAACCACGATCCCCATTTGCCGAAAATCTGCTGTGGATCGTAAAATTAAAAAAAAAAATGCAATAAAACTGAGACATTATTTAATCAGTTTTAATTCATTATTTCAGTTTTCATTATTTAAACGGTTTTAATTGCTTTTATGAATAAAATATATAATGAACACAATTGGCTTAAGAAAAAAAATAATTGGTGATGAATGATGCATTTTTACAATAATTGATTTCATTTTTTAAAAAATTAATTAGAATAATTTATGAACTTTTATATCTTTTAAAATTCTGTATTAATCTGCATTGGTCAAATGATATTATTAAATGAAAACTTTAGTTACTAATCATAAATGAAAAAGGGTCACTACAATTCAACGACCTCCATTATTTAAAATAAAATTGAATTTATTTTATGTGTGTATAAACGTGTCAGATTTTGTAATTACGAGCGTGCATAGACGCCATCATCAGAAAATAAGAGCGTTAATTATAGTAAATTTAAAATGTATTCGAAATTCTATCAGATTTCCTCCAAAAGAGTCTTCGTAAGAAAGACTGTAAAGCCAAATATGTAAAATTCAATAAACTGCTTAAATATTTGAAATTTTCAAGATAACTGTGTAGTTAAAAAAAAAAGAACTAAAAGTTTATTCGTTTTATTCGTCGTGTAATTTTATTTAAATTATTTGCTCCTTACCTAAATTTTTCAAACATCAGGCTGTCGATAGAAACGTCAACACCTCATAGAAACACACATAGTGTTAAAATTTCTATGATATTTTAAACTGAAAGTAATATTTGATTCAATTAAGCTTGATTAAATTCTAAATCGGCTAATTTGTTCTAAAATAACATTTTAGAAATGATAATTTTACTTTTGAAAGATTTTTCGATAAAGATAATTATGTTGTCTTGAAAGATTTGTTAATATGAACGGCGTTATAGATTTTTACTGATAATCATAAAAAATATCCAATAAATTTAAATTTTGTTTGAAGTATTCAGCAAAGTATTTTAAATTCAGCAAAGTATTTTGCTTATTGGAAATATTAAATTGAATTTGTTAACTTGGAATTAACAAAAAAAGAACTTAGGTGTCAGTTATTTTACCTTTCTTTGTGGGGGTAGGTAGTAATTTTGCTTATTTCTCTTATTCCCCTCCAAGATTCTTCTTTTAATCCCCCCCTCTCTATATTTATTTTATTTATCATCCTTAAATATTATTTCTTATTCCCTGCTTTCACTTCTTCCTTTATTTTCTTTGTCTTTAATATGTATTATTTCTTCTTGACTTTCTCTTTTCTATTCTCTTTTCTTTCCCTCCCATCAGTTGCAATCTTGTCTTTCTCATTGCCTCCTCCTCCTCCTCCTCCTCTTCCACCCTTCCTTCTATGCCATTAATTCCTCTTCCTTCTCTTCTTTCCAGGAACCAATTCTAACTCCTTCTTTTTTTCTTTTCTTTCTTTTTGTTTTCTTTCTTCAACTGTCGCTTTCCTGGCGTACTTACATAGAAACTTTCAATGAGACAAGAAAACTAAATACGTCTACTTTGTAATGAAACGCCCAACTCTATACTTACTTCCCAACACCCTTTCTTCATCAGCCATCCCTCCTTTTCTCTTACTGATCATAGACACCAGTCGACCTCCCGCCTCGCCCTACCTCCCTCTCCAAAAGCCCCCCCACCTACTACGTTCTCCATACTCGCATTTCCTTACTCTCCTCTTTTTATAATGCTCTTGTCGAAGGAATTCGCCGCGGCGGCTTCGTTTCGTGCTTAACTGCCATTCCTCTACCTCATTCATTTTCAAATGGACCCTATTCGCTTTCCTTCATGTCTCCCTCGGCATTTTAACTCCTCCTTCGCTAACTTTCTGGATCCGTCTGGCTTCATTTCCTCGAGAAAAGGAAGAACCGATTTATTTGGCATGTCTTATAGAGTGACGTGTAAAGAAAGCGGTGAGAGC